GAAAACACATCTGTTGGTATCTTTGATTAAATTAGCTATGATAGTTATATTCTTCTTAAACCAACTCTCATAAAATACTGTTTTACCTCCTATCTTTATTTTATTGTTATACCAAATTGGGACAGATAATATATTACTCTGAAATAGCTTATCCTCATATTTTGTGTTAAGTGTACCCCAAGCTTTGAAAACATCACACCAAAATTTGTTTTTGCACTTTTTTATGCATAAATGAATATAATTATTACCACAGTTTGCAAGAAGGTCAGTGTCAATATAGGTTTTTAGAATTATCTGCCATTTCTCAGTACTGCGATAGAGTCTCCTTATCCAAGTCAGTTTCAATGCATTTATAAAAGCTACAAGATTGACCATCTTAAGACCACCATTAGCATAGTTTTGCATAACTGTATCCCGTTTGATTTTATCTGGTCTTCCATCCCATAGAAAGTCAAAAAGTAGAGAGTTGAGTTTAAACAGAAACTTCTCATCTGGATTAGGTAATGAAATAAAGAGATGATTAAATTGTGATATAAGCAACGACTTTATAATGTTTATTTTTCCTATTGGAGTTAATGATCTTCTATTCCATATTTTTATTAGCGATTTCAGTTTAGTGAGTTTTTTATCAAAGTTTAGTTTCGGTATTTCATGTAGATTCACACTAAAATCAACTCCTAATAATGTAAATCTTTCTTTGCCCCACTGTAGGTTAAGTTCAGGTAAAAGTTTATCCTCATTATATTTTTTACTTCCAATCCATATTACCTGAGTTTTATCAATATTCATTTTTAATCCAGAAATATTTGCAAATTCATTAAGCTCTCTGATGGATTCTTTTAGTGATTTTTCAGACCCATCGAGGATAAGCGAAGTATCATCAGCATACTGAGATAGTAATATAGGACAGTTTTCAACTTCAACAGCAATGATATTTCTATTGTTTCTTAACTTTATTGCCAAAACCTCAGCACAAAGAATAAACATATACGGCGCGACTGGGTCCCCCTGTCGGCAGCCCCTCTTAATATCAAAGAAAGAAGATAGGTTCCCCCCCACCCCCCCCCCCTGATTTACAGCTGACTGTGCTTTATTATGTAATGTTTTAAACCAGTGAATTATGCTTTTACCAAAACCAAAAAGAAGTAGAACTTTTTCTATGAATAGCCAAGACACAGAATCAAATGCTTTCTGAAAATCAATCATTAATAACATTCCTGGTATATCCTTTTCCTCAGTGTATTGCATAATGTCATAAATCAATCGTGTGTTAACCCCTATGTAACGCCCAGCTAAAAAACCTGTTTGGTCATTGTTAATTAATTTGTCTAGGACAGTTTTTATTCTCTGTGCTATAGTACCTGATGCTATTTTATACACAGTGTTTAACAGAGAAATTGGCCTCCAGTTTTTTATGAAATGCTTAGGTTTGTCTGGTTTTGGTATGCATGTAATTAAGCCCTGCCTCTGTGTTATGGATAGTTGCCCTGAATGATAACCGAAGTTAATAGACCTAACAATAAATTCCCCTATTTTCCCCCAGAAACATTTGAAAAATTCTGTTGTAAACCCATCCGACCCAGGACTCTTATTGTTTTTCATAAATTTTAAAGTATTTCCTGCTTCTGTATAGGTAATTTCTCCTTCTAGATTTCCAGACTCTTGTGCAGAAAGTTTAGGAACTTCATCACTGATATAATGATTAAGATCAATGTCTTGTATATTACTACTATCTGAGACATCATAGAGATTTTTGTAAAAAGAACAAACTTCTTCCAATATCCTTTCCTGTTTTGTTATTATGTTATTATTGTCGGTTTGTAATTTTGGTATTATTTTAGATATATAGTTTCTATTTTCTAAGTTAAAGAAGTAACTGGTTGGTTTTTCCCCCTCTTCCGCCCATTTGGTCCTTGATCTAATAATACTCCCTTTAATCTTATGTGTTCTTAGTTTTACTAAATCCTGCTTTTTCTCTTTCAATTCATCTATATCAATGTTTTCCTGTGCTTCTAGCTCTTGTATTACTTTCATAAGATTACCTTCCCTTAAATGAGATTGTTTTTTCTTGTATGATGCATAAGCTATGGATTTCCCTCGAATTTCCATCAGTAAAGTTTCTAAAAATAATTGATCATTAATAGTGAATTGTATTAATGAATTAGGAATATTTTCAATATCATTAAGATCATAAACTGGTATACAATATTGTTTCTTTACTGTATTGATACAAGTATTTACAGTGTTTAAATATTCTAGATCATGAAGCAGTGAGTTATTAAGTTTCCATGTTCCTTTGCCTCTCTTAAACTCGTTAAAAGTCATGGATATATTAGGGAAGGAATGATCACTCCTATAACCAGGATCAACACCTGTATGGTTTACACTAGATAGCAAACTTTCAGATACAAGGAAAAAGTCAAGACGTGCCTGTTTCACTGGGTTCTTTCTTCTCCAAGTATATCTCCTAACATTTTCGTGATGCTCTCTAAAAATATCTACAAGACTAAAATTTTCCATGGTATCTAATACCCTGTCTCTTGCTTTTGGATTGTTGATATTTTTATATGTATTGTCATAATCAAGAATAGGCTTTAAAACAAGGTTAAAATCACCACAAATAATAACGTGTGTATTTTCAAAGTCTTCTATGGTGTCTGAAATCTTTGTATAAAAATCTGGATTATCTTGGTTAGGACCGTATAAATTAACAAGCGTAATGTGTGAGTCATTTACTTCTATGTCTAGTGCTAAGAAATTTCCTGATGAATCCTTCTTTTCCTTGTGAATTTTGCACTCAAAATTACTACCTATAAGAATAGCTACCCCTCGAGAGTTTCCGCGGAAGGACGAGAAAAATGATTCATAACCCCATTCATTTCTTATCAACTGTTCATTATCATCAGTGAAGTGCGTATCCTGTAGACAGTATATATTTTTATTAGTATGTCTTAAGTAAGAGAAAACATCCTCACGCTTTTCTTTGTTCGAAAGTCCTTGGACATTGGCCGAGATAATCTTTATACCCTCCCCCATTCGATCAACAGCAAAGTTTGATATGCTAACTCAAACCCAAGAGAAAGAGAGATAAAGAATAAGAGAAAAACAAAATAGAAGAAATAAAATACATTAATACTTAGGAATGGCGTTTTGATTACTACCTGTCTGCATACTGTAAAATAATCAAATAGGTCTAGATGATCTCCAAAAGCCTGTCGACCTATGACCGGAAGTAGTATACTAAATATGGAGAGATTACCCCAACGAATTCCGGACACGGGCTGTGACTAATAAAAGAAGGGCGATCGGAATAGAATATCCGGATGAGTCAGGGGATCGATATTGAAGATTAGCAATAAACTACTTTTCAATTAGTAAAAAATCAGACGTTACTTACCGGTATCAGAAATTAGAACATCCATATTATAACTCCATACGAAATACACATTTGCACACAAAACTCACCAGTTGAACACAATTATATCACAAATTCACCAAAGGAAGAGGAGAGAGAAAAAAAAAATAGTCATAATGATTCGCGATTCATTATAAGCTGGTCGGCAGCACAATTCAGTGCCTTTAACTGTCCTTACCGACCATTCGTCCTCTAAAGTTGTTATCATCCATCAAGTACTCATCGTTCAACGGTGAGTCATAGAAAAGTCGTCGTTTTTTGCCGTTCTTCAGGAAAGCGAAAAGTTTTCCGTCTATACTGTGAGTGTTTTTAACACAGTCCAGATCGAAAGCACTCTTAAGAATATGTTTGTTGATCCTGGTCAGATCCTCTAAGATGACATATCCGGTACCTTTCAGCTTCTTTCGCGCACGGATGACTTCTTGTTTCTTGAGCCTTCTAGTAAACTTTACGATGATGTTCCTTGGCTTGGCCTTGTTAAAACGTCCAAGTCTGTGGGCTATGTTGATATCGTTCTCAGACAATTCAACATGCAAATTGTTCGTCACAAAGGAAACAATTTTTCCAACACACTCCTCAGCGGTTTCTTTTTCTGATACGTCCTCTAATCCAACAATCCTGAGTGAGTCGTTTCTACCGTGCTGCTCGAGATCGTTAAGTTTTAACTCAGTCTTATCTCTCGCATCTTGAAGTTTGACTATCTAATTTTCCAAACTTTCCACTGTTTTACAAAGGTTCTCATTTTCAGTCTCTAACGCAAAAATTCGCCCCTCAAGACGATCTGTGATTTCGGAATTCTCTGCACAAATTTCCTTCTTGAGTTGGGTCAACTTATTGTCGAGATAGTCCCGTGTTATCATAGAGGAAAGTATTTTTAAAATTTCGTCCAACTTGTCTTCCATGCTCATTTTGTCCTTCACATTACTGAACACATTACTCTGCCGTCTGTCTTTAGTTACAGTGCTACCTCTTGTAGATACACCTGTTGGTTTATCCGGTCCTGGCATGATAAAGTTAACAGAGCTTTCTATCAGTGAACAAATCCAGGTAACACAGGCCGACAGGTATCGAGATCCGTGTATATATATTACATATACATGTACAATATGCAGTGAGTAGTAATCATTGTGTAGTGGTTCAATCCATTGTCAGGAAAAACGCTTCAAAACACACTTTTTAGAAACAAATTTCTAAAATAGGTCCCATATTTCCATTGCTCATTCAACTACATGATACGGTAGCAAATATAGTGTGTCGAAGCCGTGTCGAAAAATGTGATTTATTAGATACTTCAAAGGATAAACAACAAAAATTAAGAAAAAACACTTATGGGGAAAATAGATCAAACAGTAAAATTTTATCTCGAAACAGTTTCTGTAAGAAATAAGACAGTGTGGCCAATCGGAAAGTTAACTTCTGGGTTAAGACGTCAGAAAAAAAAAACTGTCAACTGTTAATGTCACATTCCACTTATTATCACATTTCCCTCTGACAAGTAGAACATGATATAGTGGTTTCCACTTTACAAGTGAAATTTGGAACTCTTACAATAGTGTCCTCAACTGTGTGTATTTCACAGGTACAGCTGGTCCAGTAAAAAGTGGAGTACTTGTGGAATTCTCCAACCTTGCATTCCACTTCCGTTCACCAGGTGATCTCGATGATGATGAGTTGGATGATGTTCTTCAGTTCTTACATAACAGAGTTCAAACACAGGAAAAAACAGAATTGCAGCAACTGAGATACCTCTACAACACTCTTAGGAGGTATGTAACACAAACATTTCTAAAACACTCTCAGGAGGTATGTAACACACAACTCTACAACACTCTCAGGAGGTATGTAACACAAACATTTCTAAAACACTCTCAGGAGGTATGTAACACACAACTCTACAACACTCTCAGGAGGTATGTAACACAAACATCTCTATAACACTCTCAGGAGGTATGTAACACAAACATTTCTAAAACACTCTCAGGAGGTATGTAACACACAACTCTACAACACTCTCAGGAGGTATGTAACACAAACATCTCTATAACACTCTCAGGAGGTATGTAACACAAACATCTCTACAACACTCTCAGGAGGTATGTAACAGAAACATCTCTACAACACTCCCTGGAGGTATGTAACAGACATCTCTACAACACTCTCAGGAGGTATGTAACACAAACATCTCTACAACACTCTCAGGAGGTATGTTACACACAACTCTACAACACTCTCAGGAGGTATGTAACACAAACATCTCTACAACACTCTCAAGAGGTATGTAACACAAACATCTCTATAACACTCTCAGGAGGTAACACAAACAACTTTACAACACTCTCAGGAGATATGTAACACACAACTCTACAACACTTTCAGGGGGTATGTAACACAAACATCTCTATAACACTCTCAGGAGGTATGTAACACAAACATATCTACAACACTCTCAGGAGGTATGTAACACAAACATCTCTACAACACTCCCTGGAGGTATGTAACACACATCTCTACAACACTCTCAGGAAGTATGTAACACAAACATCTCTACAACACTCTCAGGAGGTATGTAACACAAACATCTTTACAACACTCTCAGGAGATATGTAACACACAACTCTACAACACTTTCAGGGGGTATGTAACACAAACATCTCTATAACACTCTCAGGAGGTATGTAACACAAACATCTCTACAACACTCTCAGGAGGTATGTAACACAAACATCTCTACAACACTCTCAGGAGGTATGTAACACAAACATCTCTACAACACTCTCAAGAGGTATGTAACACAAACATCTCTACAACACTTTAAGGAGGTATGTAACAGAAACATCTCTACTACACTCCCTGGAGGTATGTAACACAAACATCTTTACAACACTCTCAGGAGGTATGTAACACAAACATCTCGACAACACTTTAAGGAGGTATGTAACACAAACATCTCTACCACACTCCCTGGAGGTATGTAACACAAATTCCTCTACTTTACATTTATAAGGTATTTAAATTTCTCTACAACACACTTTGTCTTGATGTTTATACCCGAGGCACATAGTTTTAGATTTGATGAGATAGATATGAAAAAGATGGTGAGGTGATATGAACTTGTTTATTTCTCTTAAAATTGAATATATATGGTAAAAATTAAATCCATCTGTTTTGCAAAACTCACAAAATTCATTTCCTTAAGTAGAGAAGCTGGATGTTTGCTATTTTTAATGTCTAAATTATGAAGTGCTTTCTATTTTCATGAAACGAATGTTTATGGTTGTGTACTTTAACCATCCGTAATCAGATGTACTACCGAAGTCATCATCTGCCTAATGTGTACTGTGACATGGCTAGGTAGTGAGGGACCAAAGGATGTGATAGTTTCATTACACTTTCTATACAGATAAACAATTATAAAAAGTACCTGTCACTTCACAACTATAGTCTATAGTCTGCAGTTGTTTCTGTGGAGATAAACCACTGTTGCCCCTAGAATAAGTCTGCAGTTGTTCCTAAAGACAGACCAGAGTTGGCCCCGGAGAATGGCCACAGTTATCCCTGGAAACAGTCTGCAGTTGTTCTTGTGGCGATAGACCGCAGTTGCTTTTAGAGAGTTGGCTCAGAAATTAATTTTTTATCACAATAAATCTTGATAACCAGTCAGTAGCACAAACTGTAATGATTATGGAACTAAAACTGTCTTTGTTTTAAAAAAATTGCCGCAAATGCATTGGAACTATTACAAGTCTGTGTTCTGTATCCTCCGTATCTACATCAAGCACAATCCAGCAATTATTTTACTATTTTATGTTTGTAGGACACAATGGTAAATATTTCAAGATGTTTTTATTCTTTGACGAGACATATCATGATACGCTGTTGTCTACCTGTCATGGACTTTTATTTGTCATGTGATCTCCAACATTTTCAACCAATTCCTTTCAAACTTGTTAGACTTTATTCCCATGACATTAAGTTCATTTCCCCTGAATGGCAGTTTGATATGACTGTATGTGAAAGAGTTAATATCCTCTCTTGTTTCCATCATGTTAATCTTGTTGAAAGATCTCCTCTCTCACTTATAACTGATTTTTTAAACATTTGTAGGCTTTACAACTATGACATGAAATTGAGCAGACCAATTCAATTGTTATTAAAGGAGTTATTGCCCTTTGGGATTTTAATTCCCCCCCCCCCCCCTCTCTTTTTGATACCCTCGTGATGAATTGTTGACATTATGTAGGAATACCCCCTAAATACATGTTTGTATGTACACATGTTATGAAAAATGACGTCACTACTCTACAGGCTGTATTTGACGTAATTTCTGACATTAATGAATTGCCAGATGTATTGTCATCCATATAAAACATTTATCAGCAGCATATCAAGTCTCTTACCCATCATTTTTGAAGTTTATTATATCATATATACACCAGAGACATTCACATCATCAAATCGGGCATTAGACTTACAGTATTACACAGACTCCATTGTCATTTATGCAGCATTTAAATGAAAAGTACACAATTTTACATATTTATAGTAACCGTAACCTAGATTTGCACTGCAGAAGACACAAATGTGAACTCTTACAAGATGTAATGTTAGTGGACATGTGTCATTTCCATGTACTCTTACCATGTCATGCCTTGTTGTTTTAATATTATTACCATGTCATGCCTTGTTGTTTTAATATCATAAGTCTTGCCTAGAGATTTCCTCCGATTTAACTGATTTCTGGCAGACATTGTAGGTTTTACAACTACAGCATGAAAATGAGTATTCTTTAACAGCAGATCTGTTCAACTGTTATTAAAGGAGTTATTACCCTTTGGGGTTTGTTTCGTTTCAGCATTTTAATCATGCAGAAATCTCCTCCCTCAGTTTTTTTTATGGTTACATAAAAATTTTCTTCCTTAAGGACAATAGGATTTTACTATTTTTGGAACAGTTATTACCATTTTATATTTTCACTATTTTAATCTCGTGTGGATATCTCCTCCTTCTGTCTTAACCAGTTCTTAAAAACTTGGCGGACTTTGTAACCATAACATGAGGTTTGCTTTCATAAACAGCATTTGATACAACAATATTTCAAAGAATTACTATCCTTTGGGCTTTTGTTCCAGAATTTTGATTTTCTGATAGCTTTAAATCTTACTTTAATTCATTATCAAAATGTATAGCAATGATTTCTTTATCATTGTTCTCACTTAATTTTATTATTTCTGTATTTCTGTTCGTTTCATCATGAATATATCTCGAGCATTGGACAGGCATGTAATTCCCTATACACACACACAGTGTTACTCTTTACAGAAGTATACACCACCAAGTCCAACAAAGTGTCAAGCACTAAAAGCATAGCATTAAAATTTATTGTCGTAATTGTCAATAATATTCATTTTAATAAATCCAAAACAGACGAAATCCATTTGTGCAAAATGCTTCATTATACTCAGAATTTATGGGAACTGTTATTGTTATTTTTTCATGACAAAATTGAAACCCCGTCGTATATTGTGTGTTTTACTGAATTTACACTTGTTTTCTTATATTAATGACATCACTACTACATTGGCTATTGGTGTCATGAATAAACAGTACAATACTCAGGAAGTTGGTACTGAAAATTCCTGTTATTTTTATACGCCCGTCGAAAGACAGACGTATTATGGTATGGCGCTGTCCATTTTCCAGCCGATCATTATGAACTTTTCACCATGATATGAAGTTGTGTGTTCCTGAACGTGGTTTTGATTTGGTGATTTGAACAAGAGTTATGACCCTTTGTTTATTTCACTATTTTCCAGCCATTTTCCAGATCTTTATGAAACTTGGTAGGCTTAATCACCATGATATGAAGTTGTGTCTATCTGAACAGGGTTTTGATTTGGTGATTTGAACAAGAGTTATGGCCCTTTGTTTATTTCACTATAGAAATCTTGTCCGGAGATCTCCAACATTTTTCAGCCAATCATTATGAAACTTGGTAGGCTTAATCACCATGATATGAAGTTGTGTCTTTCTGAACGGGGTTTTGGTTTGGTGATTTGAACAAGAGTTATGGCCCTTTGTTTATTTCACTATGAAATCTTGTCCTGAGATCTCCTCCCACATTTTCCAGCCGATCTTTATGAAACTTGGTAGGCTTAATCACCATGATATGAAGTTGTGTCTTCCTGAATAGGGTTTTGATTTGGTGATTTGAACAAGAGTTATGGCCCTTTGTTTATTTCACTATAGAAATCTTGTCCGGAGATCTCCTCCTACATTTTTCAGTCGATTTTTATGAAAGTTTGTATGCTTAATCACCATGATATGAAATTAAAAATCTTGTCTGAATATTTTCTCTAACCGATGTTTATGAACTTTTGCAGGTTTAATCTCTATAACATGATTTTATTTTTCTGAATTGAGGTTAATTAGATGATATATACAGAACCATTCCAAAAGTATTCAATCACTCAATATTTTTATGAAAATTTGAGTGAATATTTAATCATGTGATGAAAAGGATCTTATATTCGTTTCCATTTGATGTGAGATTTATGAAACTTGAGTCAATTTTTTTTCATTTTACCTCGCCAAAGGCTCTGTAAAATAAAAACATGTGCACCATGGTGTGTCGTGTACCAAAAGTAGGTCACTGTGACCTTGCCTTCGACCTTTGACTTCCATCAAAGTACACCAGGTGGAGGACTGTAATTCTTGAATTATCTACTTCGTTGGGGATATTCACGGGCGTATTTTGTTCCGTTTTGCG